TCAGTACTGGGGAAAATTCTCGAATCCATTATCAAAGACTTTATAGCAGAGCATTTAGAAAGCAGTGGCAGTATCAGACAGAGTCAGCATGGAATTATGAAGGGGAAATCATGCTTGACAAATCTGTTGGAATTCTATGAAGATGTAGCTAGTAGAGTTGATAAGAGGGACCCAGCTGATGTAGATTATTTGGACTTTCAGAAAGTGTTTGACAAAGTCCCGCCTAAGAGATTATTGTGCAAGATTAAAGCACAAAGGGTTGGGGGACATGTATTGAGATGGTAGAAAACTGGTTGGCAGAGAGGAAACAAAGAGTAGGAATTAATGGGTCCTTTTCACATTGACAGGCAGTAACTAGTGGGGTGCCACAGGGATCAGTGCTGGGACCCTGGCTAATCACAATACATGTTAATGATTTGGATGAGGGAACAAGATGTAACATCTCAGAGTTTGCAGATGATACCAAGTTGCGGTGAGAGGGTGAACTGTGATGAGGATGCAGAGATCCTTCAGCATGATCTGGACAGGTTGGGTGAGTGAGCAAATCAATGGCAGATGCAGTATGACTTGGATAAATGTGAGGTTATTCACTTTGGAAGCAAAAACAAGATTACCACCTTAATGGCTGTAAATTGGGAGAGGGGAGTGTGCAGCGGGACCTGGGTGTCCTTGTGCACCAGTCACTGAAGTAAAGCGTGCAGGTGCAGCAGGCGGTAGGGAAGGCAAATGGTTATGTTGGCCTTCATTGCAAGAGGTTTCACGTCCAGGAGCAGGAATGTGTTGTTGCAGTTATACAGGGCCTTGGTGAGACCACACCTGGAATATTGTGCACAGTTTTTGTCTCCTTTTCTGAGGAAGGCGCTCTTGCTCTCGAGGGAGTACAGTGAAAGTTTACCAGACTGATTCTGGGGATGGCAGGACTGACGTATGACTAGGTTGGGTTTGTTTTCTCTGGAGTTCAGATGAATGAGGGTTGATTTCATAGACGCTTATAAAATTCTAACAGGACTGGACAGGGTAGATGCAAGAAGGATATTCCTGATGGTGGGAGTGTCCAGAACAAGGGGTCACAGTATGAGGATTCGGGGTAGACCATTTAGGAAGGAGATGAGGAGACATTGCTTCACCCAAAGAGTGGTGAGCCTGTGGATGTCATTACCACTGGAAGTAGTTGATGTCAAAACACTGAGCGTATTCAAGAGGTGGCTAGATATAACGCTTGAGGTGAATGGGATCAAAGGTTATGGGAAGAAAGCAGGATTAGGCTATTGAGTTGGACAAGCTTCCAGGATTGTGATAGAGCAGGCTAGAAGGGCCGAATGCCCTCCTCCTGCTCCTGCGTTTCTATTTGAGGATAAAAGTACTGATGCCTTGCTGCAATTGTGCAGAGGCTTGGTGAGATGTCATCTAGGGCAGATTTTATGCTGGACAGACAGTTGTTTTGAGAGTGTAAATTAGAGTTGCACATAGGAACCCTGCAGAATCTCCATAATAGCAGACACTGAAGGAATTGCCCAGGAAGGTGGAATTTCCTCTGGGCAATTTCTCTACACCTGGAATCCTCAAAAAGTCTCTATAAAAATCAGAGAGACTTCAGATTGTTTCGATTAAACAAAAGTTACTTAGGACATAAGAACATAAGAACTAGGAGCAGGAGTAGGCCATCTGGCCCCTCGAGTCTGCCCCGCATTTAATAATTATGGCTGATCTTTTTGAGACTCAGCTCCACTTACCCGCCCACTCACCATAACACTTAATTCCTTTACTGTTCAAAAATTTATCTAGCCTTGCCTTAAAAACATTCAGCGAGGTAGTTTCAACCGCTTCACTGTGCAGGGAATTCCACAGATTCACAACCCTTTGGGTGAAGAAGTTCCTCCTGACCTCAGTCTTACATCTGCTTCCCTTTATTTTGAGGTGAAGGCCTCTAGTCCTAGTTTCACCTGCTAGCAGAAACAACCTCCCTGCCTCCACCTTATCTATTCCCTTCATAATCTTATATGTTTCTATAAGATCTTCCCTCATTCTTCTGAATTCCAATGAGTATAATCCCAGACTACTCAGTCTCTCCTCGTAATCCAACCCTCTCAACTCTGGAATCAACCGAGCGAATCTTCTCTGCACCCTCTCCAGTGCTAGTATATCTCTTCTCAAGTAAGGAGAACAAAACTGCACACAGTACTCCAGGTGTGGCCTCACCAGGACCCTATACAGCTGCAGCATAGCCTCCCTGTTTTTAAACTCCATCCCTCTAGCAATGGCAGACAAAATTCCATTTGTCTTTTTAATTACCTGCTCCACCTACAATCCTACTTTTAGCGATTCATGCACAAGGACACCCAAGTCCCTCTGCACAGCAGCGTGCTGCACTTTTTTACCATTTAAAAGTCCATTTTGCTGTTATTCCTACCAAAATGGATGACCTCACACTTATCAACATTGTACTCCATCTGCCAGACCTTTGCCCACTAACTTAGCCTATCTATATCCCTCTGCAGACTTTCAGTGTCTTCTGCACACTTTGCTCTACCACTCACCTTAGTGTCATCTGCAAATTTTGACACACCACACTTAGTCCCCAACTCCAAATCATCTATGTAATGTAGGACATTTTAGGCTACTAAATACAAGAGTATAATTCCTGAGTAACTGTTAAACTGACACTAATAATACGTCAGAGATAGTCGGAACTGCAGATGCTGGAGAATCCGAGACAACAAGGTGCAGAGCTGGATGAACACAGCAGGCCAAGCAGCATCATAGGAGCAGAAAGGCTGACATTTCGGGCCTAGACCCTTCTCGCTCACCTACCCCAACCTAGATATCTGACATCCCACCTCCATTGGACCCAACCCCCGAATACCCACTGCTGTTGCCACTAGATCTCTTGTCCACGCCCAGTTCCTGCTACCCCTGCCTGTTCCCAGCACTGGACCGAACTTGACATAACCTCACCTTGCTGGACCTGACCCTGCACCACCACAACCCCTCCCTGTCCCCCCCACCCCCATCTATCCTGTATCCTACTCCTTCCCTGCCTGGTCCCCACCCCAAATGGCACATTGGCACCCTACCCAGCTGGTATCATATCCCCTACATGTCTGGTATCCTACCACATGAGGGACGATGGCTCAGTGAGCAGTACTGCTGCCTCACAGAGCTAGGGACCCGGGTCCGATTCCAGCCTTGGGTGACTGTCTGTGTGGAGTTTGCACATTCTCCCTGTGTCTGCATGGGTTTCTTCTGGGTGCTCCGGTTTCCTCCCACAGTCCAAAGATGTGCAGGTTAGGTGGATTGGCTATGTTAAATTGTCCACAGTATCCAGGGATATGTAGGCTACGTGGATTAGTGATGGGAAATGCAGGGTTATGGGGATAGAGTAAAAGGGTGGGTCTGGGAGGGATGATCTTTGGAGGGTTGGTGGGGACTCGATGGGTTGCATGGCCTGCTTTCACATTGTACGGATTCTATGATTTTACCACCTGCTATCATACCTCCTTCGTAGCTGGCATCTCACTTACCTAGCATCGTACTATCTGGCACGCTTCCCTCTTGGTGTCCTAACATGACATTTATCTTATATACTTATCCTAAGATAAGCTACTTTAATGGTAGTGTCAGGACCCTTAAAGGTCAGAATACAGCAGCTGACAGCTGTGAAAGGGCAAGTGGTTTGCCTTCCTCTCACAGTTCTGTGCTACAAAAGAACTGTCAGGCTGGAATTTTCAGAGATTGCCACACCCAGGAAAAGTTGGCCCCAGTGTGTACAACTCTGGTGTTCTCATCTAAGGAATTTGCCATTGAAGCAGTGTAATGGGTGTTCACCAATTTAATCCCTGGAATGGCAGACTGGGTCATAAGGAAAAGTTGAGGAGACTGGGTCTGTATTTTCTAGAGTTTTGAAGATGAAGAGTTGGTCTAATTAAGAATTACAAAATTCTTACAGGGCATAATACAGTGAATATAGAGAAGATGTTCCCTCAAGCTTCTGACTCTAGAACAAAAGGACAGAATCTCAAGATAACAAGGTGTAGAGCTGGATGAACACAGCAGGCCAAACAGCATCAGAGGAGCAGGAAAGCTGACGTTTCAGGTCTAGACCCTTCTTCAGAAGTGGGGGAGGGTAAGGGGATTCTGAAATAAATAGGGAGAAAGGGGGAGACAGATAGGATTATGTGCAGGCCATTTAAGACTGAGATGAAGAGGAATTTCATTCAGAGGGTGGTGAATTTTTGACTCTTACCAATTTTTATGGATGAACCACTGATCCAGACGCATCGCAGTTTGGTATGGCAACTGCTCTGCCTTAACCACAAGAAATTACAGAGAGTTATGAATGTAGCCCAGCCCATCGCAAAAACCTCCCTTCTAGCTTAACTCCTGTCTATACTTCCCACTGCCTTGGGAAAGTAGCCAAAAATAATCAAAGACCCTTCCATGCCCATTGTATTCTCTTTCACCCTCTTCCATCGGGCAGAAGATAGAAAACACGTACTAACAGATTCAGGAACAGCTTCTTCTCTGCTGTTATCAGACTTAAGAATGGATCTCTTATATTTTAGAGTTGATTTTCTCTGCACCTTCACTGTAACACTATTCTGCATTCTGTTCTATTACCCTGATGTATTTATGTAAGGTATGATTTATCCGGACAGCATGCAAAACAATACTTTTCACTATATCTCAGTACATGTGACAATAATAAATCAAACCAAATATGGAAGTGGTGTGACCAAATGTTATTGAGATAATCAGTCATGATGTAGAATGACATGGCTCAATTAGCTGAATAGCCTGCTCCTGTTCCTATGTTCCTATTACTAAAAAACATCTCTGTCATCTTAAATATGGATTGGTTGTTCTGTCATAATTTGCCCATGGTGTAAGCATGATGGACAGAGGGATAGGCACCGTTTAATGAAAATGAAGCGGTGACAAGAACATGAGCAACTTAGGAGATCAACATAATAAACTAATAGCAAAGCAAGAACAGTACTTACTGAATCTTCCCAGACAATGAAGTGTTTCGCTGATGAAAGGGAATCCCTTGGATCTGCAAACTACTTGGCCTGCTCTGTACTGCTTCAATGTGTGCTTGTTGAACCTGCATGCCAAAGAAATAATTCAGATTCCAGCAACAACTTACATTTATATAATACCTTTACTGTCGAAAGACTTCCTTGGTGCCCCATGATTGGAATGATGTTAGCCAGCCACACAGAATGAGTTCCCTGATTGGGGCTCTTAACCTGGTCCAATCAGGGAGTCCTGGCTGACAGATATCAATAGAACGGTCCAAGGTTCTGCTCACTCTGGGAGCTTGCTCTGTGCTAGCTGGATCAGTGGCATGTGCTATGCATGTGTAAATAAAGGGTGACTTGGTGATGGGAAAACAGTCTTTGTAGAGTTATTTCAGTGGTGACAAGAGTGGGATATGCCCCTGAAGAGATTCACTCGCAACAATCATGTTTGAGTTGGGGTAAGCATTTCTGACATTATATTTGGAAAGCTTGACTTATTTGATCCTGCCCTCAAAGACTCAGCCCAGTATGTGGAAAGAATGCATAATTTTTTCCAGGCAAATGACATTGGGCAGATGAAAAGCAACGAGTAATTCTCCTGACGTTGTGTGGACCCAGAGCTTTTTCAGTTATTAGAAGCCTAACTTTCCCTGAGACACCAGATAGTAAAACCTTCCAAGAGTTGATGGATTAGCGAAGGAACGTTATGATCCCAAGCCTCCTCTAAATCTGAGACACTGTTTTACTCAACAATTTGAGAATCGGGAATCTGTATCGGTATTTTTGATGAGGTTAAGATAAATGGCAGAGGCATGTGATTTTGGTTTAACTATGTGAAATGCTAAGAAACCGTTTGGTATCTGGGATTAATGATGTGACCGTGCAAAAGCGCCTACTAGCCAAAGCCCAACTGGGGTTCACACAGGCACTACAATTAGCTTTGTCACTGGAAAATGCAGCAAGTCAAGCATTTGAGTTACAAGGTATGCTGATGGAAGTGATCACTCTCACCAGGCCGACTGAGCTTGGGGAACACCACTTGAGTTCAGGCAATTGCATAGCCTCACTCAGGACATATCCTGAACATAGGGACCCTAGCTCAGACCACAGTAAATCCCCAAAAACAAAGCCAAGCCTTGGCCAAAGGTTAAAATTCGAGCCTGCAGGCCATTGCAGTTGCTGCTGGTATGCAGACGGGAGACAGCAAAAGACTCCTAACTAGCCCTGAATTGAGTAAGAGAACTCTAGCCCGGTATCAAGGAGAGTGCACAACCCGAAAAGTCCATCTACATCTGCTTTGGAACAGTTAAATTGCCTAGCAACATCCAAATCAGAACCAACGTGGTTAAATGGTCACCCAGTTATAATGGAGGTTGATACCAGTGTGGTTGTATTGCGGAACCAGTCTTTATCAAAATTCGCTCTGGACTCCAGCCCTTAAGTTTGCATAAGGCCTAGATTGAGAACCCTACCAGGGAAACTTTACAGATTAAGGCTCCAACTTTGATTCCGGTCTCTCATGAGAAGCAGCTGGTTCAGTTAGCATTAAGAAGCTTGGGCCCAAACTTGATGGGGCAAAATTGGTTGAGAAACATTCAACTTGATTGTCTTGACATTTTTCAATTAGAAAATAGCTGCCTGATTGAAGTCCTGTTTAAATACCCAGAAGTTTTTCAGAGAGGTTGAGGGGCTATCAAAGAGGCCAAGGCCATCTTACATGTTGATCAGGAAGCAATTCCATGATTTTTGCAAGGGCTACCCACTGCCGTTTGCTTTACCTGCAAAGGAGAGGCAGAAATCAGGAGACTGGGAAGTGATTAGAACCAGTACAGTTTGCAGATTGGTCATACCGATTGTAAAGCTTGACAGGTCAGTTTGTCTTTGTGGGGATTTCAAAAAGCTGGATAGATACCCAATCCCTCACACAGAGGACTTATACAAAACTGTCAGGGGTGGGACGGGGTGATGGGGGTTGCTGTCCTGCACGAAACTGAACATGAGCCATGCATACCTGCAATTACAATTAGATGAGGATTCATTGTCTGCTACAATTAATACTCATCAGAGTTTGTACCAATATACAAGATTGCCTTTCTGGGTATCATCAGCCTGTGCCATTTTTCAGCGGACGATGGAGAACATTTTATAAGAGTGACCCCAGGTAACCATTCATCTGGATGACATAATAACTGGGAAGATCAATAAAGAGCATTTAGAGAAATTTGAAATAGCGCTTAAATGTTTCTCTAAGGTGGGGGTATGTCTTAGGAGGGAAAAATGTATGTTCTAGGCATCCCAAGTGACCTACTTGGGCCACAGAGTCAACAAGACATGTTAGAAGATAAAGTGAGGACAATCAAAGGTGCCCCGGCTCCCTTGTCTGTATCAGAGCTTAGGTCTTTCCTTGAGTTGCTGAATTATTACGGAAAATTCATATGTAACCTAGCCTCCATCCTGGCACCCTTACATCTGCTGTTGAACAAGGGTCAGTCTTTGAAATGGTCTTGTAGCCAAGATGTAGGCTTTAGGCAAGTGAAGAAGCAGCTATCATCATCTAAGATGTTGGCACACTCAGAGATGTGTTGTTGACATATGATGCCTCCCCTTATGGTATCAGGGTAGTGTTGGTTCACCAGTGACACTGCGGAGAGGAATGTCCACCAGTATATGCTTCTCAGACATTGGCTAATGCTAAACCAAGCTGGGCCCAGATAGCGAACGAAGGCTTGGCACTTATCTTTGGTGTGAGAAAGTTTTACCAATACCTTTACAGATGTAAATTTGTCATAGTAATGGACCACAAACCCCTGCTGAAGCCATTTAAAGAGGATAGGGCCATGCCACCCATACCTTTAGGTCGAATTCAGCAGTAGGCTCTTATTTTGAGGGCATACAATTACAAGTTGGAACACCATCCAGGACGTCAAGTGACAAATGCTGGTGCATTGAGATACCTCCCACTGGCGGATACACCACACCGCCACTGGAAGAGTCCCTTCTGGTTTTAAACTTTCCGGACACGCTTCCGGTCACTGCTGACAGTATCAGACTGTGGATGCAAAAAGATCCTGTTGTAGCAAAAGTACAACAGCTGGTGGCAATGGGGGAAACAAATGGGCCCTCACAAGTAGAACTGAAACCTTTCTGGACAGGACGAGACCAGATCACTGTAGAGGGTGGCATATTATTGTGGGGAACCAGAGTGATTATCCCGAGCAAATGTCTAGCGGAAAGAGCAGCCCAAACTTTGTGGGCAGGTTTATAGAAATAGCATGCAGCTTCACTTAACAACAAGCCATCCTGGTGCCTGTCCGATCACAGGACTACTCCACACGCATGGCCGGCTCCAGCAACTGTATATGCATGTGCGTGTGCGCCAGTGGACGAGGTTTGGTATTGAAATCACAGGAATGGCCCTACATGGCTAAAAGGTACGGTCGACGTCCTGTGACACACAAAGTTTGGATAGAAGAGGTGGTCCTGAACAAGCATGTGGACCACATGAAAGTTGCAACCTTGCTAACGGGGCAGAAGCAAAACATGCCCGGCCCCTCAGAAAATCTTGCAAGGCTGTCAGAACCCGTGCGCTCTGCTTAGCATTGACGAAATCTCTGAGGATGAGATGGACACAGCAGATGTTGCAGCCTCAACACCGTTAGCACCTGAAGATGATGAGTTTCAGCCAATCCGGACGCAAGGGATGGGCTACAGTCCATTACACACCACCAGTATCTGAGGTAGAGTCGGAGGAACTGGACCTGATGTGAAAATGTCCCAGGAAGAGCTACAAGAAAAATAACAGGCCTACATGCCAGTACGTAAGAGGGGAGAAATGTAGTAATTGGAACAATGTCGGCCAGGTAGATCTCTTACAATGTGAGTTCCCTGACTGGGGCTGTTAACCTGGTCCAACCAGGAAATCCTGGCTGACAGATATAAACAGGAGTGTCAGGAGTTCTGCTCACTCTAGGAGCCAGCTCTGTGCTAGCTGGCTCAGTGTCATGTACTATGCATGTGTAATTAAAGGGTGACTTGGTGATGAGATATCAGCATTTGTGGAGGAGTTATTTCACAAGTCAATGAAGGAGCTTTTGATGGGAGGGAGGTGACTAAAAGTTTGGCTATTCAAGTGGGTAATAGGAACAGTACCATGAAGACACAGGAATATTGGAATTAGGTGTCGCATTCCAGAATTGGGGCAGAGTTAGTGAAACATGACCACTGGGGCGGCATGGTGTGCGGTGGCTCACTGGTTAGCACTGCTGCTTCGCAGCACTCAGGATTTCCACCCTTGGGTGACTGCCTGTGTGGAGTTTGCACATTCTCTCTGTTTTAGCATGGGTTTTCTCCGGGTGCTCAAGTTTTCTCCCACAGTCCAAAAATGTGCGGATTAGGTGGATTGGCCATGCTAAATTGCCCATTACGTTCAGAGATGTGCAGTCTAGATGGAATAGCCATGGGAAATGCAGGGGTACAGGGATAAGGTGGGATGTTCTTCGAAGGGTTGGTGTGGACTTGATAGGCCAAATGGCCTGCTTCCACACTGTAAAGATTCTATTTTAATAGGTTGTTTGGTATCCTTATTTGAAAAAAAAATCTTTGTGTAGGAAGCAGTTCAGAGAAGGTTCACGCGACTCATTCCTCAAATCAGGGGATTATCTTCTGATAAATGGGTCAGCAGTTTAGGCTTATATCCACAGGAGTTGGAAGGAGGAGAGGTGATCTACTGAAAGATATTAGATACTGAGGGGGCTTGATAGGGTGGTTACCAAGAGAAATTTTCTCTCCTTGCATAGTACTATAACACATGCATAGTACATGACACTGAGCCAGCTAGCACAGAGCTGGCTCTTAGAGTGAGCAGTACACCCAACACTCCTGTTTAGATCTGTCAGAAGAAGAGAACTAGGGGCCACAGTCTAACAATAAAGGTTTTTTTTCTTTGAGAGGATCATTAGTATGTGAAATTCTGCTCTCCAGACAGCTGAGGAAGCCGGGTCACTGAAAAAGCTGGGTCACTGAATGCATTCAAGGCACAGTTAAACAGATTTCTAACAAGAGAATCAAGGTTTAATTGAGACGA